AAACGATTACTTGCAACTAGTAATGCCATCTTCTTGTTGATGTGACATGCTGTCTGCAGAAAGACGTCCCCTGTTACAGCAAGTGTTCTCACTAGAGTGTCTGTTGTTGTTCCTTGTGTTTCAGATGGTGATCCCATCCTAGTTGACGTAATCAGTGCATTGTAAGAAGTTATTTCTCGAGTAACTTTCACATGTTAACGTTTGTAAGTGTAGTTTTTTTTATAGCTGATACCTCGTGTCACTGTGTGCGACTCAGATTGAATATCAGCATTGTTCACCATGTTCATTTCTTTTCTCCTGTGCTTGCAGTTGAGATAGTAGATTCGTTCTCCCTTGCTCATATTGCGTGTTATAGCGTTAATTTTTTTTCAACCGGGGGGTCATCCACTCCACCGAGTTTGTTCTTTCCTCCAGTAAGGAAGAACTGTTACCTTTATTCCAGAACAAACAGCCTACTGGAAGGTTTAGCCAGATGGACCTTGACTATCCAAGAGTTCAATCCCACTTTTGAAAATTTACCTGGCAAGTCAAATGTAGTCGCAGATGCTTTATCGCGACACGTTAGTGTAGTTACTGCAGATCCTCCATTTGCTGTCGAGGATGTCAAAATGCCCAAAGAACCGATCCCTTGTGTTCTGGTGTGATTCGATTCCTGCTCCAGGAAGATCTTATTCTTACTGTGAAGCCACCAGTACCCATTAGTGACTTGTAACGAGCCAAGAATTACTGTATCGAATAGTCGAGTTGAGTACTCCTAGCAGACGAATTAGTAATTCCACAGTCACTAGTGATTGTAGTTGTATCTTTTGTAGATACTCGTTCAGATCTCTCTCAGTCAAGGCATGTGTTAGCCATTGCAGAGGAATTCAATCCTCCCAGAGATGATAACCATTCTGCATACGTAAACCTTACCCTCGCAGAATTGGGTTTAAGTGTAAACAGCCTGCATAATTAGATGTCCGAGATGAATGAATTTGTCAACTGTGTGTTTATTATTAGCTGATCAGTTTGTCAGAAATTTTCGTGTTCACGTTCCCTCCGTATTCTGAGAATTAATAGTCTAGATTTGAGTGCACCGAATCTGCCTTTCTGTTAAACACTTCTTTGTATATAATTATTCTTCCTCAGAATCCGTAGAGTGCATGAATACAGATCGATCGATCAATTCCATCCATATTGTATAATGATTTGTTCTTATAGTTTGTAATGATTACGTTAACACCCATTACGTCAAAATCATGTTGTACCATCCATTAGTTCTAAGTTATATATGCATTTGTTATTGTATAGAATCAGCCCAGATCCGCCTGCCTGTTCAGCCTATAGTATAGTAGTGTATGTCGGGACGACATACGTAACATGACCGAGCTGTCAGCATAGTTGCTGATCCCTGTATTCCCAGTATTATATAGCATAGCATATTAGTATCATCCCTGTGCTTTAGACACGAGATCCCTCGTAGGCCTTTGGCTTTGTGTGACGTCATAGGGATACACATGGGCAGTGATCCCCCTGTCCCGTCCTCACTCGGCGGCAGACCTACAAGACGTGAACAGGCTTGGCACCGGGCTCCATCTCTCATCTCAGTCTGACAATATATTTACCATCCTACAAGTGTGTCTACTTTCAACCTACGATATCTCCATTTAAGAACCCTTACGATAGTAGTGGCAAGAAGTACAACATGACGTAGAGGTGACAAGAAGTACATGACGTAGGGGTGACAAGAAGTACATGACGTAGGGGTGACAAGAAGTACAACATGACGTAGTGGTGACAAGAAGTACAAGACGTAGTGTGACAAGTACAACATGACGTAGAGGTGACAAGAAGTACAAGACGTAGTGTGACAACAAGTACAACATGACGTAGAGGTGACAAGAAGTACATGACGTAGCGGTGACAAGTAGTACATGACGTAGGGGTGACAAGAAGTACATGACGTAGGGGTGACAAGAAGTACAACATGACGTAGTGGTGACAAGAAGTACAACATGACGTAGAGGTGACAAGAAGTACATGACGTAGCGGTGACAAGTAGTACATGACGTAGGGGTGACAAGAAGTACAACATGACGTAGAGGTGACAAGAAGTATATGACGTAGTGGTGACAAGAAGTACAACATGACGTAGAGGTGACAAGAAGTACTGACGTAGCGGTGACAAGTACATGACGGGGTGACAAGAACACATTAAAGACGTAGTGGTGACAAGAAGTACATGACGTAGTAGTGACAAGAAGTACATGACGTAGTAGTGACAAGAAGTACAACATGACGTAGAGGTGACAAGAAGTATATGACGTAGGGGTGACAAGAAGTACATGACGTAGGGGTGACAAGAAGTACATGACGTAGTGGTGACAAGAAGTACAACATGACGTAGTAGTGGCAAGAAGTACATGACGTAGTAGTGGCAAGAAGTACAACATGACGTAGAGGTGACAAGAAGTACATGACGTAGGGGTGACAAGAAGTACAACTTGACGTAGTGGTGACAAGAAGTACAAGACGTAGTAGTGACAAGAAATACAACATGACGTAGAGGTGACAAGAAGTACATGACGTAGGGGTGACAAGAAGTACAACATGACGTAGTGGTGACAAGAAGTACAAGACGTAGTGTGACAAGTACAACATGACGTAGAGGTGACAAGAAGTACATGACGTAGGGGTGACAAGAAGTACAACATGACGTAGTGGTGACAAGAAGTACAAGACGTAGTGTGACAACAAGTACAACATGACGTAGAGGTGACAAGAAGTACATGACGTAGCGGTGACAAGTAGTACATGACGTAGGGGTGACAAGAAGTACAACATGACGTAGTGGTGACAAGAAGTACAACATGACGTAGAGGTGACAAGTAGTACATGACGTAGCGGTGACAAGTACATGACGTAGGGGTGACAAGAAGTACATTATGACGTAGTGGTGACAAGAAGTACATGACGTAGTAGTGACAAGAAGTACATGACGTAGTAGTGACAAGAAGTACAACATGACGTAGAGGTGACAAGAAGTACATGACGTAGGGGTGACAAGAAGTATATGACGTAGGGGTGACAAGAAGTACATGACGTAGGGGTGACAAGAAGTACATGACGTAGGGGTGACAAGAAGTACAACATGACGTAGTGGTGACAAGAAGTACAACATGACAGAGGTGACAAGTTCAACATGACAAGTGACAAGTAAGAGATGTAGAGAGAGAAGTGGTGAAGGTTGCTGCAAGAGGCTAGCAAGTACTGCAACATGGTATCACTGGTGACAACACTAAGTCCATAAACCAGTTCCACAAACATGCAAACATGCAGTACTGCAACCAAGAGTCTATGTGGTCTAGCACCAAGCTCCTCGGCAACATCATCGAATCAAATATTAATGTGAAGTCTGGTGATACATGGTCATACATTGTGTGTGAAGTTTGGTGATACATGGTCATACATTCACATTATGTGTGAAATATGGTGATACATGGTCATACATTCATATTATGTGTGAAATATGGTGATACATGGTCATACATTGTGTGTGAAGTCTGGTGATACATGGTCATACATTCACATTATGTGTGAAATATGGTGATACATGGTCATACATTGTGTGTGAAGTCTGGTGATACATGGTCATACATTGTGTGTGAAGTTTGGTGATACATGGTCATACATTCACATTATGTGTGAAATATGGTGATACATGGTCATACATTCACATTATGTGAGAAGTCTGGTGATACATGGTCATACATTCACATTATGTGTGAAATATGGTGATACATGGTCATACATTCACATTATGTGAGAAGTCTGGTGATACATGGTCATACATTCACATTATGTGTGAAATATGGCGATACATAGGCATACATTATGTGTGAAGTCTGGCGATACATGGTCATACGTTCACATTATGTGAGAAGTCTGGTGATACATGGTCATACATTCACATTATGTGAGAAGTCTGGTGATACATGGTTATGCATTCACATTATGTGTGAAATATGGTGATACATGGTCATACATTCACATTATGTGAGAAGTCTGGTGATACATGGTCATACATTCACATTATGTGTGAAATATGGCGATACATGGTCATACATTCACATTATGTGAAGTCTGGTGATACATGGTCATACATTCACATTATGTGAGAAGTCTGGTGATACATGGTCATGCATTCACATTATGTGTGAAATATGGTGATACATGGTCATACATTATGTGTGAAGTCTGGCGATACATGGTCATACGTTCACATTATGTGAAGTCTGGTGATACATGGTCATACGTTCACATTATGTGAAGTCTGGTGATACATGGTCATACGTTCACATTATGTGAAGTCTGGTGATACATGGTCATACGTTCACATTATGTGAAGTCTGGCGATACATGGTCATACGTTCACATTATGTGAAGTCTGGCGATACATGGTCATACGTTCACATTATGTGAAGTCTGGTGATACATGGTCATACGTTCACATTATGTGAAGTCTGGTGATACATGGTCATACATTCACATTATGTGAGAAGTCTGGTGATACATGGTCATACATTCACATTATGTGTGAAATATGGTGACACATGGTCATACATTATATGTGAAGTCTGGTGATACATGGTCATACATTCACATTATGTGAGAAGTCTGGTGGTACATGGTCATACATTATGAGTGAAGTCTGGTGATACGTGATCATAAATTCACGTCGTGTTTGAAGACTGGCCATACATGATTGTACATGCGTCATGTGTGGAATCTGGTTATTCATAATCATGCAGAGTCATGTGTGACATGTAAAGTTTAGTGGAACAATATGGACGGACAGACTACGGGCTCAGATGTTGGAGGTACAAGCTACTAACCAACCAACAAGTGAGGGATAAATGGGTGCCAATGGTAAGAAAAAAGCACCATGTAAAACGAGGGAGGACTACATTAAAACGCCACACACAGCTGTCAGTACATGAGTAGTCAAAAGGAAAACTCAC